TCTTTTACTTATTTTGTTAATCATCTACTTTTTCTCAGTGTCTACACTTCCTACAACTTCTTAGATCATCAACGTTAGAGTGCTTTCGATTTGATCTATGTATTGCTTCAAAATCATAATCCTGTAACAATAATGATCATTTTGCTAATCTAGAGGAGGGATTGTTTAATGTCATTAGACATTTCAATGGTGCATGATCTTTAATGATAGTGAACTTCCTACTATACAGATAACATTGGAAAGTTTTAATTCCATGCATTCCTGCTCTGTAACTGAATAATTTATTTTAGCTTTTCCTGTCTACTCAGTTAGTTATAGGGTGTTCTTTTCCATTTTCATCAAACTGTGATAATACTGCACCTATAGCAAAACCTGAAGCATCTGTGCTTAGGATAAACTCCTTACTGAAATCTGGGTAGCTTAGAAATGGTGCCTTTAATAAAACATCTCTTAATTTCTCAAATGCTTTTTATCTCACCATTGAAATTTTATTTATTTCTTAGTAAGCTCAGTTAATAGTTTTGCAAATCCTAAAAATGGGTAAATGTCTTTTACTGTTTTAGGCACTGGATAGTTTTTGTAAACCTGTAACTTTTTCGGGTCAGGTTTTTACACCATCTGCAGTTACCAAGTGACCTTAACATTCTACTTCTGTTTTCAAAAGTTGACATTTACCTGGCTTAAGCTTTAAGTTTGCTTTTCATAACCTATCAAATATATATCTTAACCTTTCTAGGTGTTCTTCAAAACTCACTGCAAACACTATGACATCATCTAAATAACAAAAGCATTCCAAATCTTGTAACCCTGACAATACAATATCCATTAGTCTCTGAAATGTTGAACAGACATTGCATAAGCCAAATGGCATTCTATTAAACTGGTATTTGCCAGAAGGTAACGTGAAAGCAGTTTTAATTTTATTCTCTTCTTCTGTTTCTACCTTCCATTATCCACTTTGTAAATCCACAGATGAAAAGTACCCACTCTTACCTAACCTATCTAAAGTTTTTTGGATATTAGGTAATGGGTAAATGTCTTTGACCATTACACCATTTACCTCACTAAAATCTACACAGAACCTTAATTTTCCATTCTTTTTAGGAACTGACACAACTGAGGATGTGTACGATTACTACTATTTCTCTATTACTCCTATTTCAAGCATTTCTTTTTACACATTCTTTTAATTATACTCTGTGCTTTTCTGGAACTCTATAGGGTCTCTGTGCTATAGGTTTACTCTTTTTCAAAACTATTTTATGTCTAACCTTATTTGTATAGCCATTAGGTTAATTTTCTTCTACAAAGATATGTCTATACTTTTCTAGTAACGTTATCAGACCTTGCTCATGTTTCTTTGCTACATTTCCTAAGATAGAATCTGTGTTACTTTGTTGTGCTTGTCTCATAGTATTTCCTACTGTATGCTACCCTACTGTAGCTACTCTCTCTCTCTACTACTAGCCTTACCTACTACTATATGATCAGGTATTATTACTTTTTCTTCAATTATATTCAACACTTTTATAGGCAGTGTCTCTCTTAGACACTCTATTAATACCAGCAGCTATATAAACTGCTTCTTCTATCTCAATATGTTCAATTAACACTTCTTCATTACACTGGATTTCTCTTTGAACACTTGGTATTCTTATCATGCCAACTTTGTCATGCAAAAGACAAAGAATCAGTGCTTTCATATTGTTATTTTTCATCCTAAGCCTTGATAATGCTAGTGTTAGGTGTCTGACTATGAGTTTTAGTCAGTGGGAAGGTATCATCTGTCTCAAGTTTTGCACATAAGTCTAAAAGTACAAGTCCTTCAAAACTTAAGATCTCTGTTTCTACATGCAGCTTACCTCTTTCAAGAGATATTTCAGTGTCATAAGCCATTAAGAAATCCTGCTCTATAATACCATCTGTTTCTAAATCTATCTGCTTACAAGTGTTCTATCTCTAATTTTCCTATTTTTGTCTAAACAATATACTTACTTAGCATCTTAACAGGATGCCCTGTTATGGAAGTTAAAACACTTTTAGAAACTTCCTTCCAAGCATTATTCAGCAATGTTGGATTTTAATCCACCAGTTCTACACATAGCAGTGAAGATCAAATGCCTGTGTCAACCAATAACCAATATGCTGTACCCTCTATTTCTACTAAAACTACTGGTAACACTTCATGAACACTATGAACACAAACCTTTTATTCCATACTGCCAAAACTACCTCCACTTTCGCTCTGTAATCCCGATAGGGGCTACGTTTTTGATTCTATAGCAAATGTAAAACTATTGTTATTTCTCGAGAACTTCCTTCTCAAAGTCCCAGCCTTTAAGGCTTTTCTGTTTTCTGCCTTCGGTGGGCATTTGCAATCTTGGGCTATATGGTTTTTAATATCACAGTTAAAGCATGCTTTCTGCTCATTTCTCTTCTGTTTCTGAAAACAGTTTCTCATTATGTGTCCAACCATGCCACAGTTAAAATACTGGAAGCCATCAGACTTATTTTGTTTCTTTTGCTAGCCTGTTTTACCAGTTGTGTTACTGTTTACTACATTTACTGCAGCATGTTGGTGCTTATATATCTGTTTTTCTTGTAGCTCCTCTCGAGTAGTTACTTTGGTCAGATACAGTAAGGTTGTATCAGAACTATTTGCTTCATTTATGTTTTTGCAGGCTGTGTTACCAAGCAAACTGCTCGTATTCTGATTTTAGGGTTCTTGGAGCATCAGTACAGTTGGGTGTATATATGCTCTGCGTAGTCTATTACCTAGGTCTTGTAGCTTATGTCCAAACACTGACTCACCCCATTGCTAAGTCAAGCTATGTATTTGTGTCAGAATTGTATTTGGTGGTTCTCTCTTTCTGTTTTCTTCTACTGTATTCTTCATGCTAGATACTGAAAATCTGCAGTTTCACGAAGTTCATTATAAGCCTAATATAATGCTTTACTCCTGCTTTTCTCAATCTCAAAATATCTGCTTTTTTAGCATTGATTCAGCCTGAAATTATAGCAACTTCGTTTTAAAGCATCTATAAAACCATCAACATCCTTGTCAAGCCTACAGTGATACAATTGTATAGTGCCTGATAAGTGCATAGCACCTTGACGACCTACTTGTGCAGGTTGATCTGCCACACGTTTACAATTTGCATCAGCCCTTCTATCAGCTCTAGAGCATGCACCCTCATCTACAGTAGTATATATGCCAGAAGTACCCATGCCTACTTATACTACCTAAATTGACTTATTTCTATTCTTTTATTTACTCTAACCAAACTGTCATTAGTTGCTCCAAAAATCCTGGAAAACTGCACCAATTGTAATAGGTGGCTGTATTTGCTAGTTGGTGGTTTGAATTTAAATCCAGTTACAATAGATTTATATTAAATCCAGGTATATAGTCGCAAGTGGAGTTGACAAATCACTAACTCGAGGAAGTTTACAATTAGAATAAAGTATCAACTCAGAGACTGAGATTCAAAATACAACAACCCTTTAATTCAATATATTAAGATACTTGACTACATCAAAACTACAGAAAGTATCTTGGAACACGTTACTAACAGAATTATTAAATTAATCAACTTGATTTGATAGCTGTTCTCCAATTAAACTTTTTATAACATCCATTAAATTGCTTAACACTACCAAGAAATCATTAATTACTACATTGAAGGAAATGTGTTGAGACATAATTCATTATTAAACATGGTTGATTCAATCTTAACTATGTTATTTAATTCTAAGAGAAATAACAATGCATCAAGGTTGAAAAGATGTTCTGAACCTTTTTGAAAAACTGAAGTCTTCATCATTTCTGGTATCTTTCAGCAGCATCAGAGGATTCTTCTTCAGTTCTGTGGAGATTGAATTTCTAACCCAAAATGGGTTTTTATATCAGATCTTTTGGTATCCTTACGACTTTCCAAGTAATCTAACCTGCAAATAGATCTGGTACTTAATTGGATGATTTTTTGCAAAACAAAAATGTGCCCAATATTCTTCTTATTGCACATATGTGTACTACACATGGAGCTTTTTGTGATATACATATTTTCTCAATTCTTGAAGCATTTGGAATATGGTGAAATGCCACAAATGCTTGAAGTCTTAAAGTGGTATTCCAGCAGATAAAAAAGGAATGCTTGAAACTGAAACCACAAAAATGTGCATTCATGCACACAAAAGTGATATTTCCCAGTGATGTTGTGAGTAGAAAAGGTATCTCCCTGAACCCTGTTGAAATAACTGCAAGATTGGTCTCAAAGAAGGTCAATATCATATTACCAATGGTTTATGGCCAATTTCTTCAAGATTGCTTCATGATTATAAACTCTTAATAAGGCAGAGATGTACTTTAGGTGGAATAAAGAATATACTTCAGCAATCTAATCTTGGATGTGTGCTGCTGAAGTGATGACAGTATGCTGAATAACAGCATTGCAGGAGTATGATTTAATTATATATTATAGTACAAACCCTTCAACATGGAAATGTAGATATACCATATATTTTGACATGCATTTTTTTTAACAGAATTAGTAAAATGGAAACACTACTTAGCATGTCACTACCAATATTTTCTAGGCTCTTGGTGTCTAGCTGCTGCATGTAGCATATGCATAATTGACCATAGAAATGTCTGGAATCAACAAGCAAAATCTTAATAACATTGAAACTCAAGCGATGCAGAAAAAGTTCTATGTGTATTTTGTACATAGTAAATTTAAATTTCAAACGTAATTGATATTTTTTATACATAAAACAACTAGTACACAGCTTATCTGTAGCACTAGCTGTATGCAAGAGATCTTAATTGTACAAAACTACTGGTGACAGTAATTGTTTTAGCATATAAATGTTTTAAGTTTTAATATACTTTTCATATCTGTTTCAACTACTTTAGTTCATTATGTTAACTACTTTTACATTTAATGAAGAGTGTCATAATTGTATATTAGAGGAAAATCTTAACATTGTGTTTATTTTAGCAAAGCTTAGAACAAGTTCTTGCTAGTACTGCAGGAGACCTGGAGGGTGCAAAAAAGAGGGAACAGACTTTGTTGATGATGTATGAGACAGCTAAACAAGAAGTTTTGGAGAAAAACCATGAAATTGCTTCTTACTGTGCAGCTTTACAGGTGAGATTTTGAAATCAGGTATTGTTCTCACTCTTAATATTTTCAATTTGAGTTATTCTTACAAAAGTTTTAACTTACATAAGTTTTATACAGAGCAAACATTGATTCAACTCATGTAATATATATTTGTGTGAAAAAAAATCAAAAAGCCTAGTGAGCTTTGTAGCTTTTTGATCATTTATAGACTATCTGTTTATCATGTGTAAAGAAAAGGATGAGAAGTTTTCATGTGTGTAGTTATGATGCAGTGGTAAGTTTGCAGATTCACACTCCAAAATAATGGATTTTGATATTCATGGTGAGCACAGCACAGATAGCTCATTGTGTAGCTGTGTGCTTAACAACAAACAGAAACTAATTATGATGAATAATTTTGACGTAGTAATTTAAATTTTTTCCATATTGTCACAGAGTTATCAGGTCATTAGTTTAACATTTAATTTCTGAAAAACGTTTCTTCATATAAATAATATGCACTTTTTATTATTGTTTTTAGAAAAGTTTCTAAAATTTATGAAATTATATTTTTTGGATCTGTTTAAAGACTGGGTTTAAAAACAAGCAGACTTACCTCTGAAATATGAAAACCTTTACTTGTTGAGTCATTCTCATGTCACTAATAAACATGTGAATAAAATTATGATTGTTTTTGACAACAGGCATCAACTATCTAGAATTCTCTACTCCCCCACTTTCCATGTGACCCATGTTAGAATAATGTGTATACGCTATGATTTTTTTTATCATAATCCAGATTTTTTGTTAACTTTGCTCACTATGTACTCAGATGTCAATACTTATTACTGTTGCAAACTTGTTTACCAATATAAAATTGTTTACAATATCTCTTGAGGCTTACTCATGTAGCTTGCCTCTAGAGTACAGGGAATTCCTGGGGCTGTATTGTCAGCCCTTTTTGATCCATATATTCAGGTGTTTATTTATTGTCTACTGGTGCCTTTGGCAGGTTTCATATTTATGTGGACACTCAATTATGGAACATCTGCCAATTCTGACTGATTATTTAAGCAAATAATGATAATTAAATAAAAAAAATCTCAAGTTTATTCACCTTCACTGTTTGAAAATCAGGATTTGTTAGCTAGTCTAATTCTGTAGAATCTTTTGCTGGATTTTTTTCTTAGGTATGCTCTATTTTGTAATCTTAAACTCATTTCTTTTATGCCTGATGATACTAATGTCATGTTGGAAGATTCAGTATGTGAATCTTTATATTTTCCACTTTCTTCTCATTTTTGGTTCATTACTGATACTTTTAGAAATCAGTTAAATGTTATGAGCCTTTTAGCACAGTCATCTTTATCTAATTGTCTTGCTTCTCAAGTTCTTGACTCCTTAGATTGGTTTGGGGGAGGGAGGTTTTTCATGTGTTTTTTTATTTAGACTGATTGTCTACATTACTTCAGCTGTTGCTTGATTATTTGTTCAAGATGTGAGATTGTCTTACTGAATGTTGTGATTGTTATCTTATTTTCGTTAATAATCTTCTTTGTTTATTAATCTTGTTGGGCTACCTTATAGACTTTGTGCAACAAACAGTATACCTTATCTTTCTTCAACAAGCTGCTTCATTCCTTATGTCTTGTTCATGATTGTTAGATATACACGACTGTTAATTTTAAGTTTAATATGAGAGTATTATTTAGTTTATATTGTGTGAGCATTAAAGTAAGTTATTTTTAGAAGCAATATTTATGGCAAATTTGCTTAAGTAACTTTATGAGTCATGTTCAGTTGTTGTAAATTGATGTCACATTACTCAAACCTTCTGAATTTTTCTTGTTCCTTTAAGTGAGTATTGTTACATAATAACATCTTTTAAAACAAGTGAATTGTGTGCTGTTCGTTTACTGTTGAAATTTATCACAAGTCACAGACACTTACTGTAAAGAATCCAGCTCATATAAAAAACTTGACATTTGAGAGCCAGCCAGGATTATACTGTGATAAACACCAGTAAAAGAAGACATGAATGAAAGAGGAAGTAAGCCTATATATGCACAACTTTAGTGGTGTCGAAAATAGTGTGGAGATTAGAGTCACACTATATAACCATGTCAACTGATTTTGATAAATGAATAGAGAGGTGAGTGATTTGTGCAAAAAGAGAATTTGTTAAACAACAACAAGACCTAGAGAGAGAAGAGCATAGGCAGAGAAGAGAGGAAAAAAGACTGAAGGAAGAAAAGGAGAGACTAGAAATAGAGAGAGCGAGAATAAGAGCACAAATTGAGAAAGAAGAAAAGGAGGGAGAAAAGAGACTGGAAATCATGAGAATAATAGCACAAATTGAGATTGTCAAGTTCACTCAACAGAAATATGAAGGACCCAAAAATAACAATGGGGTCAGGGCCAGCTCACCCAAACTGCCCAAATTTGAGGAAAAGAATGACAACATGGATGCTTTCCTGGAGAGAAATGAAAGATTTGCCCAAAGTCAGGACTGAAACAAAGGTGACTGGGCAGTCTGTCTTAGCCCACTTCTCATAGGAAAAGACCTACAAGTGTAAACAGGCATGACATCAGAAGATGCCATGGACTATGACAAGTTAGAACAGGCCTTGTTGAAATGTTATGAACTTACCAAGGAAGATCTTCCTTGGAAGTTCAAATAAGTCAAACCTGACACTGGTGAACTTTATTTCAATTTGTGACACATCTATGGCAATACTTCACAAGGTGGACTGACATGGCTAAGTATGAAAATAGCTTTGAAGGATTTGAAAATCTACTAATATGTGAACAGTTCATAATAATGTGCTGAACTGACATGTCACTGTTCGTAAAGGAGAGAGTACCAAAACATGTGAATGAGATGATTAAGCTGGTAGAACAGTATATGGAAGCACATGGAGTGAGTATAACAGGCAAGTCCAAGAATAACCAGTTAAAGTTAAAACCAGGGGTGGCTGACCAGAAGCACGATTCCACCGAAGGTGACAGGAGGTTAACAGACAAATGGGAGAAAAGATGCTATGACTGTTATAAAGTGGGGCACAATGTAAATGAGTGCAAGTCTGTCACCAAAAAGCAACAGCAGAAATTTCAATATAAAGCAGCTGGAGCTACCTACAAAGATGGTGCTAG